TGAGTTGTGTTCCTACCAAACAGTTTTACTTTGGTTTCATCTGACCATATGACATTCTCCCAATACTCTTCTGSAACATCCAAATGCTCTCTAGCAAACTTCAGATGGGCCTGGATATGGACTGGCTTAAGCAGGGGTACATGTCTGGCAGGGATCTGAGTACCTGGCAGCATAGTGTGTTACTGACGGTAGCCTTTGTTACGTTAGTCCCAGCCTTCTTCATTTTGACCCCACGGGGTGAGATCTTGTGTGGAGCCCCTATTGAGGGGGATTATCAGTGGTCTTGTACAGGGGTTAGACAATGAAACWGAAACATTTGGGCAGCCATGGTTTTATGTTCTTTGGATACAATCCGGGTTAGCACCCAAACATCCCTTTAAGACAGCTTCCTCTTGCATCCACAGTTAATYCTRTTGGATGTGGTTGGTCCTTCTTGGTGTATGCTGACATTACCCTGGATACTGWGGCTCTTGATACATCATAAAGACTTGCTGTCTTGGTCACAGATGCACCAGCAAGACGTGCACCAAAAATTTGTCCTTTTGAACTCTGGTATGTCACCCATAATGTTGTATTCATTTCAATATTTTGAGTAAAACTGTGCTCTTACCCTGCTAATTGAACTTTCACACTCTGCTCTTACTGGTGCAATGTGTAATTAATGAAGATTGACCACCAGGCTGGTCCAATTCAGCCATGAAACCTCCCACACTAAAATGACAGGTGTTTCAGTTTTATTGTCTAACCCCTGTATGTGATTCCATTTGATAGTTATTGCTCTCACAGTTAATTTCTTCACACCAAGCTGCTTGCCTATTGCAGATTCAGTCTTCCCAGCCTGGTGCAGGTCTACARTTTGTTTCTGGTGTCCTTACACAGCTCTTTGGTCTTCACCATAGTGGAGTTTGGAGTGTGACTGTTTGAGGTTGTGAACAGGTGTCATACTGATTAAAGACATTACTACAGGTAATGAGTGGAGGACAGAGGAGCCTCTTAAAGAAGAAGTTACATATCTATGAGGGCCAGAAATCTTGCTTGTTTGTTATTGACAAATCACTTATTTTCCACCATAATTTGCAAATAAATTCTTTAAAAAAATCAGACAATGTGATTTTCTATATATGTTTTCTCATTTTGTCTCTCATCTAACTATGATGTCATAACATCCCTCTCAACTTTTTAAGTGGGAGAACTTGCACAATTGGTGTCTGACTAAATATTTTTCCCCATTGTGTGTTCTCTGATGAAAGTAAAGTTTGCATTTCCTTTGGTAATCAAGGTGCCAGAGTCCAGAGGAAGAGAGGAGAGACACAGAATCCACATTGTTTGAGGCCTGGTGTAAAGTTTCCACAGTCAGTGATGGTTTTGGGTGCCATGTCTGCTGGTGTTGGTCCATTGTGTTTTCTGAGGTCCAGGGTCAACGCAGCCACATACCAGGAAGTTTTAGAGCACTTCATGCTTCCTGCTGCTGACCAACTTTATAGAGATGCAGATTTAATTTTCCAACAGGATTTGGCACCTGCACACAGTGCCAAAGCTACCAGTACCTGGTTGAAGGACCATGGTATCCCTGTTCTTAATTGGCCAGCAAACTCTCCTGACCTTAACCCCATAGAAAATCTATGGTGTATTGTGAAGAGGAAGATGCAATTCGCCACACCCACCATTTCAGAAGAGCTGAAGGCCACTATCAGGGCAGTCTGGGCTCTCCTAACACCTGAGCAGTGCCACAGACTGATCGACTGCATGCCACGCCGCATTGCTGCAGTAATACAGGCCAAAGGAGCCCCAACATGCTCATACTTTTCATATTCATACTTTTAAGTTGGCCAGCATTTCTGAAATTTCGTTTTTGTATTGGTCTTAATTAATGTTCTAATTTCCTGAGATACTGAATTTCGGATTTTCATTAGTTGCCAGAAATACATAAACTTTTTTCATGATATTCTAATTTTATGACCAGCACCTGTACATTATGTTGTCCTGATCATGTGAAGTCTATTAGCCATTTGAAGAAACTGGTCTTTCACTCTTTTATAAAACAATAGGTATTGTATTGTGATTCTTTTTCTAATAAAATAAGTCCTTTATGACAATATACTAAAGGTGTCAAAGGACTGGTCCTCCAGGCAGTGTGCCTTGTGGACCAGGTTTGGGAAACACTGTCCTAATCTCTTCATTTCAACATTTTCAATGGCAGTGGTGTATCAGTGGAGTTTTTAGCTTTACATAGAGGTTGGGTATTAACAGTTTGTGAAGATAAAATACATACAAAGTGTAAATGATTTTGAATAAAAATAATTGTATCTACACTGTATACAGTGGCTACTGAGTTAACTAAAGGGATATTTTGAACATTTTGAAGTGGAGTCCTGTGAAAATTTACCTTAACAGTTGTAGATGGCTTTTTGACACTTTGGACAAAGTTTGTCTGACAGGATTGACTAGTTAATAGCTTATCGTATTGCAGCCATGATCAAAGTGGATTGCTGCCATCCTAGATTGGCTTTGGTCTCAAAATTTCCAGGCAGACAGACAGATATTTGTGATCAGTGATTTCTTTCCAAACATCAGGGTCAGAGGCTTGCTTACAGTGTTCGTGCACATTCCAGCTTGGCAAGGAGAGCATAGAAAGACAGGGAGCAACAGGCCCAGGCCACAGCATCCTTGTGACCTGTGTTTAATTTCTTCGTCCAAGGCTGCTTGAGCACACCTGGTGTGAATTTTTAAGTGAGATTTTGTTGTCAAGCCTTCAGGTTACCACACCTGCTCTCGTTTTAGGAGGAGCTGAGTTCATTTCAACAACTGGTTTGCTAAATGAAAGCAGCCAATGCCAACTGGAGCACAGGACCAAAACAGTGTTAGCTTGTAAGCTTAAATGGAGGATTGGATTAGATTAGATTAGATTAGATATTGCATTATTGATACCTTGGAAAGATTCCTTGAGGGAAATTCAAATTCCTGCAGCATCACACAAATAGTAGAAAAAGGACAGTAGCAGCATACAGTATCAATATGATACTTACGTTTGAAAATATTCCAGGCTAAACTGAAAGGAAATGAGATAATGCCACACATGTCTATGAATTTAACCATGAAATGTAAAATTCACAGTAAGGTAGAGATTTATAAACTCGAGTTTGCATTTTTAGAAAGTTTTAAATTATGGAGTTTTTTTAAGATCCATATTGTAATCCACATTGGTTTTGACTGTCTGCATTAACCATTAGCTTGTCAGTCCTGTAAGACTTTTCCCTTTAAACTGCGACATGTCTATAAGCTTCTGCTGTTCATGCATTTTTCTTATTTTTCAACAGCCACTTTTTTTTCCCCCAGTTGAGTATCCTCTGCTAGTGAGACACACAGTTGCAAAGACTAAACCAGAATCATTTGCTTTATGTTTCATGGATGGATCATCAGAACTGGATGCTATATTTGGTGTGACCTAGTAGTAATAAACCACTATTTGTAGTTGGATCCATTTAAATGTATACAGTGGTTTGCAAAAGTATTCATACCCCTTGAACTTTTCCATATTTTGTCACATTACAACCACAAACATAAATATATTTCACTGGAA